TCCAGGTTGAGCTGTTGCTCAACATCTTAGCTGTAGAGGGCAGTGTCACTGGCCCTCATATGTGGGATCCGAACCGGGGCCCTCTGGCATCCCAAGTCTGCTCTTAACCAACACGCCACTCCGCCGGCCCTTGTTTGTTTATTTTTAGCTGAGCCATCCTGCCACCTGTTGGCAGCTCAGCAGCAGCTCAGCTCTGGCCGGGAATCGAACTGGCGTGTATGTATGTTTTTTTAACATCATTTCGCTCACTTATCTGACATGGTCCAAAGCCTAATTTCTCCAATTATCTCCCCCCAAATAGCTGTTGCATGTTTTTCCAATCTAAAATTGAATCCAAGATCACGCATACTGCATTTGGCTGCCATATCTCTTTAGTCTCTTCTAATCTGGAACAGCTCCCTTATCTTTCTTGTTTTGTCTTTTTGTCTTTTTGAAGAGCCCCAGCCACGTGTCCTACGGGCAGTCCCACTTTCTGGATTTGCCTAGTGTTTTCTCATGATTAGATTCTGGTCTTGTACTTAAAGAATACTCCCTAGGTGACACTGTGTCCTTCTTAGTACATCTCATCAGGGGTCCCATGATCAGTGATGCTAACTTTGTCCACTGAGTTAAGGAGTGTATTAGTTTGATTGGGCTGCCATAACAGAATACCACAGACTGAGTGGTTAAAGAACAAAAATTTGTTTTCTCACAGTTCTGGAAGCTGAGAAAGTTTGAGAAAAAGGTGTCAGCAGGATTGATTTCATTCTGAGGCCTCTCTCCTTGGCTTGTTGTTGGCCATCTTCTCCCTTTGTCTTCACATGGTCTTCCCTCTGTGCTTGTCTGTGTCCTGATCTCTTCACCTTAAGAGGACACCACTCATATTGCATTAGGACCGATCCGTATGACCTCATGCTGAAGTACTGGGGGTTAAGACTTCAACATATGAATTTAGTGGGGAGACACACAATTCAACCCATAACAGGAAATGAGTGCCAGATCTCTCTGCCATAAAGGTGCCTTTCCCTCTTTGAATTATGACATCATCTGTGGGTGGTGCTTTGAAACCCTTTGAGCAACCTGTCTCCAATAATCTT